GGTCCTAACCTCACATGGGTCAAATGAAAACTCAAATAGCTTGGACCTACTTGACCTGTTTGGTTAAATGGGCAAATTAGACAAGAAGGTATAAAGCCATAATTCTCGCGCTCTTACCTATTCATTTGTCTATTTCTAACTCTTACTCCCATTCTTACTCACCCATACTCTTGTCTTAGATCTTGTTCATCTTTACCCTTTCTCTTACTCCTTCAATCCCTCATTTAACCCTCATCAATGGCTGATTCTTTCTTTGTAAATCTGCCAGTCGTCGAACGTCTCTATCCCTTAGTGGCTTTAAGGAGATATATAAATGAGGAAATAGCCAAATACAATGAACCAGAGGGTCACAGTACAATTGATGAGAGGTACTTCATCCCTCGCCATCATGCAAAAGGGGAGTATATTCTTGGCCTTATTTTCACTGAAGCTCATGCTACACTTCCCCATTTATACCCATGCTTGGAGGATCACTACCTTCTTTACAATGAAAAATTCAACTGAGGGGATTGGAGAGCCACTCGACCTCATCCTTGCTAGCCTACATTGAAGACGGAATGGGAAGAATGGTATGATAGAGTTGTTGGGGCTAGAAAACACGATTTAGAGGACCTTTGCATCCTTGATGCCCTTCGACTTTCTAGGTTTATAAATCTTGCGGATCCATTTCTTATCCCTATTACTCTTTGCTTTTGGAATCCTGGTTTTAGTCCTACATACCCAGACCTTGCAGTTTCCTTTTCTACTCTTGCTTCAAATCTCTCTTACAATGAGTTCGTAGAAGCTGAAAATAACAAGGAAGATCCTGTGAGCAACTGAGAATTCTTTTCTTTTATTCTTTATTGGCTTTGCAAATTTACTTTTGTACTTTTTCCCAAAAAATAATGCTTGAGTTCATTCCTCTTGCCAAGGCTCTGGCTTCAAAGAAGAGGATTGCCTTGGCTCCTTATGTTCTAGGCCATGTATGTAGCATTTGTTCCCAGTTTTGTGAAAGGCCTCTAGAACCCAACCAAGGAGGCCCTATTTGGGTTCTCCAACTCTGAATTTTTGCTTACTTTACTACTTCCACTCCCGTTGCTTAAAATTTCTAGTGCAAAAGCCCATTACCTACGGAGAGAAGTATACCAGAGTCTCTTTGTACCCTTTCAGTTTTGTTTATTATTTTCCTTACTTCCATAACCTGCCAACCTCTATTCGTTCTTCATTCTTTTGCCCTTCGATGCTAATGTGGCGCTAGCATAGTTGAGGGCTTTTTTGGCTGATGTGACCTATTTTAGGCCTTTTCATAAGAAAATGTGGGCTTCTAACTTGATCCCAAGGGAGCTCTTTATTAGCACTCTCAACCCCAAGGCCTACAAGTGTATTGTTGAGGCTTACTGTCCTATCCAATTTGCAAGGCAGTTTGGGCTTACTCAACGGATCCCAGTCTCTCTGAGCAGCCACTCCAACTCAGATCTTGATGCCAGAAACTGGTACCAAAATCCTTGCTAGATGAAACAATGACCAAGTTTGCAAAGAACTTTTCTAGCTTTGAATTCGTGCCCTTCACTGGCCATAATAAAGTTATGAAAAGATTTCAGAACTAGTGGACAACCAACATGGAACTGCAGCTTACTACCTCTACCCTAGAGGTTGGCATCACCATTGTTTCCACTGCTGCTGTTTCAACCCCTTCACTCAGAGTTACTAGGTTTGCCACCAAGAAAGGTACATGCTTTATTTCTTCCTTAGCCTTTCTTTTTTCCTTTTATAATTTCTTTAACCCCAGTGCTTCCTTTTACTAGTACAGGGGCTTTGCAGAAGGTCTCACCTCAGCAAGCACAAGCCCTTATCACTCTGAAGGGTAAACAGTAGGAATCAAAGAAAAGAAAGGCCCCACTTAAGCTTGAGCCTGTAGAAGAGGCACCTAGGGTTCTTACAGAATAATATAAAAAAGAGAAAGAAGAGACAAAGGCCAACCTCACCTACTGCCAAACTCATCACAAATTTTGCTTATGAAGCAACAACCAAGGCAGTAAAGAAAGGATAGACCAAGGAGGTCATTGTGTTCCAGAGATCGGAGAAGAAAAGGCAACAAAAAATCTCAACAGATAAGGCTGCTACTACTGAGGTAATACAAAAAGAGGCTACAAGGAAAAGTAAGGCTACTGAACATCATAACCTTCGCAGTTCTCTAGCTGCCACCACTGCTGCTGCTGGTAATTCGCTTTAGCCCTTTATGATGCTCTTTGTTTCTTATATCCTTTATGTTAGCACTGTCCTTACACTTCTCTTTTGAAATGCAGCAGCAACCAGCCTGCCCCTCTTTTATTCAATGCCAGCTTCTTTTCATTCGGGAAAAACTGAAAAACTACCTCTGAGCCCCATAGAATTGGAAACCTTGAAGGGGAAAGGAAAAGCAAACATCAACTTTCCAATGAGTGTAGAGCCCCTACAAATAATACTTCCAATCCATGCCTTTATGCTCCCTATAGCTTCTTCCTTAATTCCTTCGAGGCTTGATATGCCCATCATTCTCTCCTCCTTATCCCCCCAGTACTACTGAGCCTCTTCGTCTGCCCTTGGTGTCCATTACCTTACCTCTGCATGCTCCCTTATCCTCCAGGGTCTTGGTTAACCCCCTTGCCTTATGAGAGTACCCCTGCTGCCACTCTATTTCAATGGTAGCTAGTACTTCTAAGGGTGGTACTGGTGGCACACCAATACTTCCCCTACCACCTAACTCCAGTCCCACTTCCTTAGACTTGCTGGTGGCCAGGACCATAAATACTGCTGAGGCATCTTCTCCCCCTGCTCCTGTACCAACACTTCCAACACTATCTTCCACAAGTGACCCTTCTACAATGCTTTTTTCAGAAGAGAAGATGGACCTCTTCGAAGCCCAGCTGGGAGCTTATTTGACACATCCACACCAACTCTCTCAACTGGTAATGACTCTGAGCCATTGGATCTATCTGACTCCTTGCTAAAGATAATAAAAAGCTCATCTGTTGCTGAATCCATCTCCCTTCCTCAAGTAGACGTAGGCACTTGTTTAGAGTTGATGAGGAACTTCTCGAGGATTCCATTTAAGGCTTTTTAGAAACCAATCGTCAAGAATGGATTCCTCAAATGCTGCCATCTCATTGAACAGTCCAATGTTGCCTTTCGAGGCCATTTAACCTAATCAGCAACAACCATTGGCTTCTATGTCAATATTTGCCAAATGGCTAAGGTTACAGAGAATGAGTTGTTAAAAGACAAGGAGTTTGTATCCCATATTCACTTTGAAGTCTCAGTGGTCAAGGGATAACATTTTTCTGCCTCACAACTTTAGGCTTAGCTCTTGCATAGGAAGGCAGAATTGGAGAAAGAACTACTATCAATAATCTGGCCTTGGAGCAGATGCAAGAAACTTTACACTACACACCAAGGGCTAACAAGCCATAGGCAAGAGATGAACACTACCATTCAACTGTTCCCATCACTCAGGAGTAGAGAGCTTATTGTAAGGGAACAGTTTAAATATTGTAGTGAATTTTGGGCCAATTTTTGGCACAATGTATTTCACTTTTGTGAAATGAAACCTCATTATTCTACACACGTGTTTTTTTTTTTTTTTTACTTAATGTTTCCATATAATACTTCTAAATTCCTTGTGCCTCCTATACAGTTGGGTAATAAGGTTTCAAATATTTGTCATTAATTTTCTTAGGATGCACGTATCCATTTAAAATTTTCAAATGGTAGGCTCCTCAAGGCAAGACTTTATGGACTTAGTATGGTCCCTCCCACTATACAGATACAAATACAAAAAAAGGCTTACTTTGCTTCTCCAAAAAATGTAAATTTGTAATTTTTTACTCAGTCTAATTTGTAACTTTCATTTAATTTTATGTTCATTTAGTTCATTATGGTCTATATCCTTCAATTTAATTAACATCTGCAGTGCTTACAGTCCATTGGGTATATTTCATTGTGTCGCATCATTTAGGTTATGCCAAGATGTGAGTTAAGAAAAAAGTATTTCAATGATTATTTTTCAGGTATCTTTTTATAGGTTTTGTAGATGGATTAGTTGATGTTTCTCAAAAACACGTCCCATTTTCAGTCAAAAGTTGGACAAGGATATGGGTTCATGCACACACACAAAACAATCAGAGTGTGATTTGTTGTCGTCCTCTCATATCTTGTATTATTTATCATTTTTTCTCTTTGGTGGTTTGGTGTTCTTGTGCACATGCATATGTGTACACTTTTGGCATCAAGGATATGAGCCTTGCATGTATACCAAGCAATAGAAGCTTGATTTATTATTCTTCTTTTGGGATGTATGTGTGCACCATAGTAAACTGTCTCAGGCTTCATTTAGGGATGCCTAGATCAGACGACCATGTTTTCTCAAGAAAAACTTGAACAAATAAAAGTATGTCCTCCATATGCACTGAACACAATTGTTTTTTTGAATCTCACCCTATTGTCAAGTTCTGTCTATGCCAAATACTATCTGTATTTTATCATTGTTTGGAGGTTGGTCTGAAATATTACCAGAAATTGTCCAAAAGTTTAGTAGTGTGAATCATGTTTTTAGACTCATGGATTGGTTTTTAGACATTGAAGAACTTGATGCATGCTAAAATGCTACTATCAATCTGACTTGTTATTTGTTAATTGGAGTCTTTTGTGTAAGAGCAGCAACAAAAATAACTTGAACTCATTCTGGCAATTGGAAAGACTGGAAAGGTATAATTTTGTGTGTACATGGACATTACATCATGTATCTTTAGAAAAAACTTGTGCTGCTTCTTGTTATTATTTGGCCTTCCATTATGTATCTTTTTTTGTATTTAGTTTCTATCCTTCTAGTTGTTCAAAAGCTACACCAACCACTTGTGACTTTGCTCCTATGTCATGCATGCACTGTGGAGGTTAATGAAGGGAATTTATGTTTCTAGTAAATATATGAAATTTTGTGTAACGACCCCAAAATCCGTATTAGAGATTACCTTTACGGCAAGAGAACCGTGAGAGAGAGGGAAGGAAGAAGAGGAAAGCTCCTCTAATCAACACTCATGGGGTTTTGAAGATGCTTGAAGGGGGTGAAGAAAGAAAAAGAAGATCATCCATGGGAAGCTTGGGAGGAATTGGAGAAAGCTAGGAGAAAGACAAGGATGGAACTAAGGTATGATCATCTATCTTGAATCCTTATGTTTGAGACATCAATTTCATGAAATCATGATAATAAGGGAAGCTTTGAACCCATTTGAGTTAGGGTTTTATGTATATATATTGATGGAACCTTGATTTCCTTAGAATTTCTTGATTGAAGAAGTATAGGCATTATATTTGTGTATTTTGAGGTTATGATGGTTGATGGAGAATAATATTGTGAAATTGGTCATGTATTAAAGGGTTTTGGACTTTGATTTACATGTAATTAAGGTTTGATTTTGAAAATGAGAAGTCCCAAATTTTCTGCCATTTTCGGACAGCAATCTGCCCAGAGCCGCACGTGCGGCCCTGTTTCCCGCACGTGCGGGAGACAGCTTTGTCCAGCCATCTTTGAATGAGCATATCTTTTGCCTCGGGGCTCCGTTTTGAGTGATTCTTGAGCCTAAAATCAAGCCCCGGAAGTCTAGTTTCCAATGGAAGTGGTCTCACTCCCAAATTCTAAATACAAAAATAGTTATGCCCAAATTAGTGACGACTGTTCACTTTCTGTCAACTAATTTTATACCATTTCTTCACCTAAACCATTTTTCCATTGATTTCTCCTGTTTCTGTGACATGGAGTATAACTTATTAAGAAATAATGAGCTTGGTACCACCATGGCTAATTAAGTGAATGATCAAAGAGAATAAGTAAATGATCGAGTATAATCTCATATTATGTGTTGTGCATTGTACTTGTAGGTCGAGACGAGAACATCGTCCTATTACCACCGGGAACTGATCACTGTGAGTAGTAGTACAAAAATGTACATTTTATCTACTGTTGATAATTATTGTCACTAATGTTTTGTTCCTTGTAAGTGTTATAAGAACATTTATGCCAATTGGAAAGCAATGTGAACTGCTGAAAGATTCGCGTACGTTGGTATGATTTTGGAATCCTTATGTTTTGTTAATGACGAATATTAGCCTTATGTTATTTCTTAAGGAATAAGTGGAACCTATGTTCATCTTTGAGGAATGATATTTGTGTGAATTTAAGATTATGTTACGAAGGGACCCAAGATCATTTAGAAACTATGATATGAATGTAAAGGCTTACCATCGGTATGCAACTCACATAAGAAGATGAATTGTTCTATTTTGTTAAGCGCATGCTAATGATATGATATAGCAAGAAGTGCTCAGGTTTCTCTTAATTTAATGAACGATTATTCATATATGTGGAAGTATTCACATCATTTTCAGCACAAGGCCCTTACCCAGGGGTAATAATACCGTGGTTCAAATAATTAGGTTACAAGTTTACGTATGTTCTAAGTTTAAGCCTGTTATAAGTTTACGTATGCTCTAAGTCAAGAATGTTACAAGTTTATAAGTTTAAGTATGTTATAAGTTCATGTATGTTACAAGTCCAAGTATGTTATAAGTCCATGTATGTTATAAATTCAAGTATGTTACAAGTATACACATGATACAAGCTTAAGTATGTTACAAGCCACGTTACATGCTTACATATGTACAAGTTCAAGTGTACTATAAGTTCACAATGTTGAAGAATTTCTTTATGGAACTAACAAGAATGCTTTTTATTGATTTGCCAGCGCTATTAACAGGCTAAGTATAAGTAAGTATGAATTCTGATTTCTGTTAATGATTGAAGCCTAATGCATATGTATGAATTTATTTCCGTTTATGGTATGACATTTATGTATGGTTTGGTCTGTAAGACCTGCTAATTATTGGTATGGAACAAAGTGCTACTTGGAACTAAGTGCTACATTGTGAGCCACCACTAGAGTCCATGTGAGACACCTCTTGAGTCCATACATATGTGAAAATTATGAGGCTCATGGCCATCTGTATAAGTTGTTATGAAATGAAACAAAGTGCTACACGGAACTAAGTGCTACAATGTGAGTCACCTCTAGAGTCCGTGTGAGACACCTCTTGGGTTCATATATGCACGTCCAAGGGCTTTAATGCCAATATGTTTTAAGGGCTTAATGCCATTCTGATAAGGGCTGTAATGCCAATCTGATAAGGGCTTATGCCATTCTAATATGAAACAAAGTGCTACACGGAACTAAGTGCTACAATGTGAGTCACCTCTAGAATCCGTGTGAGACACCTCTTGAGTTCATATATCTATATGTTCAAGGGCTGTAATGCCATTCTGACAAGGGCTTCATGCCATATGTACAAGGGCTATATGCCACCATGTTTAAGGGCTCCATGCCATATGTTCAAGGGCTATATGCCATCATGTTTAAAAGTTTAATGTTAATGTGTTCAAGGGTTTTAAGCCACTAAGTCTCACGATTGGGCCTAAGGCCATTTTGAAATGAAAACAAGAACAGATTAACTACATGATCTTCGCAATTATTTATGCATTGTTATGTATTATGTTTTAATTGTGCATTTATGTATCATACTATTCACTGAGCTTGGCTCACCCTATGTTATGTCTGTTTCTGTAGGTAACCAACCAAGTGGTCAATCTAATTATAAGTTTTAGTAACAATTTAAAAAAAATCGTCACAAAAATGTCATTAATTTTCAACTTTCAACAACAATTTGAAAAATTCGTCACAGAAAAAGTCATTAATTGTAAGTTTTAGCGACAATTTATAAAAAATCATGACAAAAAAAGTCACTAATTTTCAATTTTTAGCGACATGTGCAAAAAATCGTCACAAAAAATTATTTTTAGCAAAGATTTTATTAGAACTTATTTTCAATAGAACTTAATGAGAATTGAATCTAACTATTAGGATCTATTGGTAGTTTACCAAATTTATTTTGAGAAAATTGTTAAAAAGTCTCATCTAAAAAAGGTATAAAGCATTAGGTCCCATAAGGCTTATTTATTTATTTATTTATTATTTTTTTATAGTGAGAAGTATACTCTTTGTAAAATATTATTGTGAGAAGTACATTTTATTATTTTGGAGGACATTTTATTTATAATTTTTCCGTTAACCTTTTTTTTTTATTTACTAACATTTTTTATTATCTGTTCCAATTTATATCTATCTGTTCAAAATTTTGTTCAGTTTTTTCCTAATTGTTTAATTTTTTAATCTTTTCAATTCAAATTTCCTTTATCTGTTCAAATATTTGTCCAAACAAAATCTATCTGTTAAAATTTATTTGTTAAAAAATTCTACTTGTTCAAATTGTCTGTTAAAATTCTATAATATTTTTTTTTATTTGTTGAAAACAAACCCAAATTGAATCTGTAAACAATAAAATTTCACATTAAATTCATAAAATTGAACAAATAGAGGATTCCAAAGAAAAAGAAATCAATCTATTCTCGATTCTCTTCCAAACCAAACAATAACAAAATCTCTCAGACCAGATTTGTTGGGATATTATCATCATCATCAACAACAGCAACAACAACCTATCTGTTCAAATTGTTGTACAAATTGTATAATTAAATAAACCAAACAGATTCATATTTAATAAATTAAATGACAGAACATGAAATAAAGGGACTAAATTATACAACTCGATGAACAAAAATACTCAACAAAATAAAATGGTAAAAGAAAGCAAACCGAAGCCTGTGTGATACCACAGTCTCCTTAAGACAGATTAGTCGCCTCACCGTGGGTGTTGGAGGTATATCGACGTCTAGCTCCCAAGATACGACGGTATAGACCCGTTAACGCAGAAGCACCTTCTGTTTAGCTCCGGCGAACTGACAATGGCAGTACTCTCTCACATAAGAAGAAGAATATAGGAGTAGACTGACTGTATAATATAGAAGCCAAAAATTTTGTATAAAAACCATAGAAGATGGCCTCCTTTTATACACAATAAGGGAGAGAGAAGGAGCCTCCTAGCTATGAAGGCTAGCAACAAAAGTAGCCAATTACTCCTACAAAACTAATGGAGTAATACGCAAAATTGATGGAGTAATTCACAAAACTAATGGGGAATAAGTGTGTGAGTTACACACTTTATATACATATGTGTGTATATCTGCAACCACTACACAAACTTAGCCCAAAAAGATTAGATTGATGAGTCACCAATTCGGCCCAGCCCAAACTTAACTGTAGACGTCCCCGAACGCCCCGGGAGGACGAGTCCCCCCCCTCATTCTGTTCGTTTTGGGTTCACTATAGTTCAGGACTCTCAAATTGTCACGGTTCTTAATCTGAACCAAAGAGTCCAAATCTGGCAAATCGTTTTGAGAAACAGATTTTTGAAAAGAAGTGCCAAACATGGACTGCTTTGCCAGATACAGAGTCGCCACCTAAATATTTTTTATGGGGAAAATTTAGGAAACCCTGACTCGGTGCCGAAGGCCACATGTCCGTCATCACCGGAGTTGTCTCGGCTCGGGAGCTTGGATTAGGGACTGAGTTGAGATTGAGCTTCAATTTAAAGTTATGATTCATATTTGATGTTGGAGAATGAAGTTTAAATTTCAAAACATTGAGTTTCAAAACTTGGACAGAATATCAGACAGATTTCTACCCAATTCTGCACGTGCGGCTTAGGGCCCTACACATACGGAAAACAGAGCATAAGAAGCTAAACATACTGCTTTAATTGCATGTGCGAGGTGTACATGCAGTGGTGGTTCCGCACGTACAGCCAATGCCCCTGCATGTGCGGTTTTCAAGCCAATTCCCGTTTCGTTTTCTCTTCATTTTTTCGACTTTCGGGCCTCCATTTGCATGGTTTTCACGTGTACTTTGAATTCATATGCATATCATGAACACGAATAAATTAAAGAACGAATAGAAATAACCAAATGAACGAGTAACGAATGAACCAAATAGGTTTAAGAACCGACTGAATGAATTGAACATGTTTTGAGATGTTGCGCTTGAATGTGTTTGTGTAGATCAGACACTACATTCTAATCACGTGATTCAAGGAACCAATTGTAAGTAACAACGTAGTAAAGATATATTTGAATTATAAGTATTTTCTGAATTATAAAATGCTTTGTTTCTGAAATGATGCTTTTTGACTGATTGAATGATTGTCGTATTTATGAAATGTATTCATTTACCTACTGTTTACTGTTACTGTTACTGTAAATAGAGAAGGATGTAGAGGGACGAAGAAAGTTACGGGGAAACCTTATTCTTGAGTGTTAGAAGAGAAAGTTTGAGGAAAAAAAAGAAGAAGAAGAAATAGGATGAAAATCAAAGGGAATTCAATTTCATCGTTTTGGACTTGAGAATTCAACACTTTAGATGATTTAGGAAACCTTAAATGAGGTGATTAAGTTCAAATAATATCGTTAAGCTACAATTTATCAGAAAATTCTTTTTCTTGGAGGCTAAGTAAGCTTAGTTTGAGTTAAACTTGCCCACTTAAGCGAATGAAACAATTAGTGGCCTAATCCACATAGTTCCCAGGACAAAATAGAGAAGGATGGAGAAAGTTACAGAGAAACATTATTCGTGCAAGAATAGAAAGTTAGCGAAAAGAAAAACAAATAGGAAGAAAATCAAGAGAAATTCAAATACATCGTTTTGGACTTGAGAATTCAACACTTAGATGATTCAGAAAACCTTAAATGAGGTGATTCAGTTCAAATAATATCGTTAAGCTACAATTTATTAGAAAATTCTTTTTCTTGGAGGCTAAGTAAGCTTAGTTTGAGTGAAACTTGCCCACTTAAGCGAATGAAACAATTAGTGGCCTAATCCACATAGTTCCCAGGACAAAATAGAGAAGGATGGGGAAAGTTACAGAGAAACATTATTCGTGAGAGCAAGAATAGAAAGTTAGCGAAAAGTAAAAGAAATAGGAAGAAAATCAAGAGAAATTCAAATACATCATTTTGGACTTAAGAATTCAACAATTAGATGATTTAGAGAACCTTAAATGAGGTGATTAAGTTAAACTAAAATATTAAGCTACAATTATTCCGAAAATTCTCTTTCTTGGAGGCTAAGCTAGGTTAGTGTTAGTTAAACTTGGCCACTTAAGCTAATGAAACAATTAGTGGTCCGAGCTAATTAGTTCCCACAACAAAATGGAGAAGGAAGGTGAAGCATGGATAAAGTTAGAGAGTAACATTCGGCCTGTTTTGGTTTTGCTTTTGGAAGTGAAAGTTAGAGAACAGAAGGAGAAATTGGAAGAATGTAAAAGGGAATTCAAATTCAACCATTTGGACTTTAGAAAAGATTAAATGAGGTGCTTGTATTAAACTAATACCGTTAACCTACATTTACTTAGAAAGTTCACTTTCTTGGAGGCTAAGCAAGGTTAATTTGAGTTAAACTTGGCCACTTAAGCTAATGAAACAATTACTGGCCTCAACTAATTAGTTGTAAAAGAAATAGAGAAGGATGTAGTAGGACGGAGAAAGTTGGATAGAAACATTCTTCTTCTTCAAAGGTAGAAAAGAAAGTTAGAGAAAAGAAAAAAAAATAATGCAAATTCATCCTTTTGGTCTCGAGAATTGAACACTTAAGTGACTAAGAAAACCTTGAGCGAGGTGCTTAAGTTAACGTAATATCGTTAAGCAACAATTACACAGAAAATTCTCTTTCTTGGTGGCTAAGCAAGGTTGGTTTGAGTTAAACTACTTACCCAAAAAAAGGTTTGAGTTAAACTTGGCCACTTAAGCTAATGAAACAATTAGTGGCCTAATATAATTAGTTCGTTGATGAAAATAGAGAAGGATGTAGAAGGACGAAGAAAGTTGCAGGGAAACATTATTCTTGAGTGTCAGAAGAGAAGGTTTGAGGAAAAAAAATGAAGAAAAAAAAAAGAAGAGAAATGTGAATAAAGTCAAAGGGAATTTAAATTCATCATTTTCTGCTTGAGAATTGAACCCATAGATGATTTAGAAAACCTTAAATGACGTGATTAGGTTCAACTGATATCGTTAAGATACCATTAATCAAAAAATCCTCTTTCTCGGAGACTGAGCAAACTTAGTTCGGGTTAAACTCGGCCACTTAAGCTAGTGAAACAATTGGTGGCCTAATCTAGTTAGTTCCTAGAACAACATGGAGAAGGACGGAGAAAGTTACAGAAAAACATTATTCTTGAGAGCTAGAAGAGAAAGTTAGAGAAAAAGATGAACAAATCGAAAGAAAATCAAAGGGAATACAAATTCATCGTTTTAGACTTGAAAATTGAACACTTAGATGATTTAGAATACCTTAAATGAGGTCCTTAAGTTAAACTAATATAGTTAAGCTACAATTACTCAGAAAATTATCTTTTTTGAAGACAAAAAAAGCTTAGCCTATGTTAAAGTTGGCCACTTAAGCTAATGAAACAGTTAGTGGCCTAAACTAATTAGTTCCTACAACAAAATGGAGAAGGGAGGTTGGTGAAGCACGAAGAAACTTAGGGAGAAACATTGGGCTTGTTTGGATTGCTTTTGGAAGAGAAAGTTAGAGAACGGAAGGGGAAATTGGAAGAATGTACAAGGGAATTCAAATTCAACCATTTGGACTTTAGAATTGAACACTTGCATCGTTTAGAAAAGCATAAATGTGGTGCTTACG